TACCTTAAATATCAAATGGTCTTTCCAGCTGAGCAATACAATAGCTGTAATACAAATAATGCACGAAAATTTGCTTTCATCTTTCAAATGCACTACAATAATTACTAGGTAATGTAAGTCCTGACTAATACAAGTGGAAATTTTAAGGATACAATAGCCACAGCTGGGAAAAGTGAGTCACCAGGTTAAAGTCCTGGACACAGAAAACCCCGTATGTCTTTACAGGACAGAAAAGTTCTCTACAGGAACCTATTGTTCCATTGTTTTTAGGGCAGCAGTTGTGTTTTTGTTCAGTGTTTTGTGTTAGTACAACACTTAGCACAACTGGTTCTTGATCCTGGATTAAGGGCTCTGCAGTGTTGTAGCAATCAAAAAATAAATAATCAGAATGGAATTTTAAGGCTCCAGTATTGTAAGCTACTGGTCCAGAGCCACAGAGTTGAAATGATATAGAGCGGACTTGGAAGACAAGGAATTTCTTTTCCTCAGTCTTAGCCTCAGACCAGTGTTTTGTTTCTCTCTAGCAAATGACCTTGGCTGGTGCGCTTGGATACATCATGCCAGCACCGCCAGCGCCCCTGGCCCTCTGAGTCACTGCAAAGGCCATTATACAGGCAACAACAACTGCCTTGACGTCTGACAGTGCAAGGAAACTGACGGAAGTGCAGAAGCAAATCCTGAGGGAGGGATGCTGGCGCTTTGGGTGACGTGCTGGCTAGCACACTTCGGAACTAACAGTTAGGAAGGGCCTCACCTTGGAACACTTTTCCACKCTTCAGCAGCGCTCAGTGCAGAGGTGTCTTAAACAGAGCAGGTAGCATGGGCTGCAGTCTAATGACATAATTTCTGACAAATATTAACATTTCCAAATTGCTCATAACATGTTGAACAATAATTCATTTAAAAGTCAAGTCCTTGATAAGTTTATCAGCTTCATTCATTTTGGGGTGTCCAGGAGTGTGTCCCTACTGGACACTGTAGGAGCTGTCTTCTACAAGGCACTTCTGTCCTTTTCCCCGAACTTCAGGAGGAATCTTAATGGCAGTATGGTATTTGGATGCAATCTACTTCTCTCAGCATTTCCACATTGTAAATGCTTCACCTTGTGAGTGTGTTGGCTTTGTATTCTGTCCCAGCACTGATTTCCTTGGGCCAGGAGTACAGAAGAGGAAGTGCAGCATGTATCACACCTGGCTGACATGATTACTTACAGCAAAGTCAAATGGAATTGTTTGTACAGGATAAGATCCGATGTTGAGAAAATCTTTGAAGCATAGAAGTGAAAAACATGTGTCTTAATGTGTTGGAATCTCTCTCTTTTCAGACATAAACARAGGGAGTATTAAGGAACTCTTAGTCCCTCTTCAGGAGTAGTGATAAGAATTTGCAGGTAGCGTAGGAGAGGAGGAAATAGGGAAGGAAAGGAAGGGAGATCATCTTGGTCAGGCAAACAGCACAAGTCATCCAAGTAACTCTTCCAAATCTGTTTGAAAGTGCCCTGGGAAGAGCTTGGGACTTTCTCAAAGTTGCGGTTTAAGGAATGAAATTATTAAATATATATGTATATTAGGAGTGGGCAAAGGCTACAAATATGCTGCTTTTGAAAAAAAAATCTAATTAAAAACAATTTCCTTTTCAGTTTCTTTGCCGAGCCYTGTTTTCAGAACTCTGTTCTTCCCCTCAAGCAGCCAGTGAAATCTCAAGCACTTAAAGCAAATACAGGCAGTAAACCTAGGACTTGGCCAGTAAAAAAAATAAAAGAGGAAATGATTTTAAAATATTTTGTTTTAAAATATACTAAATTGTCATTTTTAAATCCATGAACATTCTGTTAKTTTGGCTGGTAAATACCTCTCCTTAAAAAAATGAAATCTTAACCATTTATGGATGAAAGCAATGCATCCATATGCAATGAAGCTCAGGTCCTGTGCTATCTTCTTTCAGYGTGCTTGCTGTTTCCCGAACACACACAGGAGCAATTCTGCTTGAAATTTAGATATGAAGTACATCTGAACTGGGTAACAACAGTATAAATTCATGTACCCTTTCTAGCCTATATGGCTATGCCCAGTGAATAGGGCCACACTCTGCAAGAATCTCTGTTGGCACAACTACGTGTATTCTGTTCTCTGTAGCTTCTGCTTTGTGTGGTCTCACCATAGCYGGTCACTTGGTTCCAGCAGTGCCTCACGTTGTATGACTGGTATATGTTTAACATCTGAGCTTTCTACCTCTGCCCTGGAACAAAACTGTAGGGGATGGAAAGTTTTGTTTTGTAGGATGTTTGCTAACGAGATGTTTGATAATGGGTTTGATTTGTTTGGATTCTTCCAATTCTTGTTTCCATTGTTACTRTTTTATAATGCAAGCATCTGCACTAAAGAAGGCAAAGTGCAGGTTTGTCTGGATTCTGGCCCTACTTTTGCTCTGATACAAGTCAACTCTTGATGCCACAGTGGCTGCTCATATGTTGCAAGCTGATATATGTGTTTGTCAGACTGGAGTTTCAACTACTGTTTCACTTCACTAGAAGGGGTACACGCGCCTTGTGCAGTCCTGCCAGTACATGGGTCACATAACTTAGAACAGAAGGTACCTATTCCATGAAARAATTTATAAAAGAAAGGATAAGGAAGAAGAAAATATGAAAAAGTGATTGCAAGAAATACAAGTGAAGTTTTTCTAGGAAAAGGCTTTTAAGTAAGGATTTAAAGGAAAAAAAATTAAAATTATTTTAATTTTATTTACAGTAACTTCTAATGCTTAATTAATGTTACTGTTTGCTTGTTTGTTTCGCAAAGTGGCCAGCTCACCAAAATATCTCCAACACATTGTAGGACACATCTGTAAGGCATTCCCCACCCCACCTTTATGGGAGCTGCTGAGCAGCCAGCTGAACAGTAGTTGAGTCCTTAGAGCCTAGTTGGAAACATATAAATAAGTGTATTTTAGCATTCTTGTGAATGTCTTCTCTGGACTTATTGTGAAGTAAAAGTTACATCTGTGCGTACTTGATCTCAGGCTTGKTTTTTTTACAATGAACCAGGTAGTTCTTTGATACCATCACAAATGTGGGGACATTGACTTTGACTAAGAAAATGGCAAATGGGCTTAGGTCTGTAAGGGTTTCCTGCTGCAGCAGTGGCAGAAATAGGAATCTTTTAGAATGTGGGCAGGGGAGCAATTTACCAAAGGGAAGATGATACATAAACTTGCTGTTTTCCCAACTCTGTCTGCTTAACTGTTRTTAACGTGTGAGTAGGGCCTGGTGGTTTCCACTCTCACTGAAAGTGGGGTCAGGTGCTTCACGTGTTGTGCAAGGTGGCCATTGAGGTGCATGTCCAAGCTCAACACAGGTCAACCTCCTTGCCTGCCTATGACCTTGGTCACTTCTCAGTTGGGCTATTCCTATTTAACCTGTCTGCATTTCCACACACATAACTGGATACCCGATCCTTCATTTCCTTTCAAGAAGTGATGGAGATGTTGCTCGCCTATATTTCTCACAGTGAGACCTTSAGATGACATTTTATCTACGGTAGATGAAGTAATTCCTATCTAACATGGTTGAATAGTGCAACAGTTTAAATTGTAAATTGTTTTAATGTCAACCCTATGTTATGTAAACTTTATATCCCTTCCAAAAGATGCCAAATGAATGTGGAGACTGCAAAGAAAAACCTGCAGGAGTTGAGAAGTACCAGAACGAACAGCCTCTTGCTTTTGTGCATAATCTCTTTGCTTGTATGAATCTCACACTGTTTTCCACCAGATTCCTGCCTTGATCAAGGCACAGGGTGAATACTGCTTTGGGCTAGCGGCAGGGCTGTGGAGGAACCTGCTGTCTGAAGGGCACACGAGCTCTTTTTTGCAGGAAGTGGAGGCAGCATCACAAATAAGGAAGGGAATTGCAAGCAGAAAGGGATGCCATTGTAGATGGAGAAGGAAATTAAGTCCATCCTTCCTTTTTGCTAAAGTCATTACATGATAGTAGACTGTAGACAAATACCTGAGCCTCTTTTTTATAGATGTGGAGGCAAAGCCACAGTGTTTGTGATACACCCGTATACTGTAAGTAGGAATTAGATGAAAATACCCATRAAAAGATTTATCATTTCTCCTCAAAGAAGGGTTTGTTTATTCGCTGATAAGTGGAGCCTATGTTACAAACAGAAGATCATTTTAAAGTCTTTATTAGCTAACGATTTTATTACTCTTACTTTGTGGCCCCTCAGACTGACCAAACCCCTCACCTTCCATTTTCCTTTTTTTTTTTTTTTTTTTTTGCTCCTCTACTTTCTCCTTTCACTACTTCTTTGAGTATAGTGGTGCTCAGAGGGAATACTTGCCAGTACTGAGTCTGTCCATTCTACATTTGGGATCACACATTCCCTGCTTCACCTGGCATGTCCTACTGAGCTACTTGGGTTTTTGTAGAGCAACATCTGGGAGGGTGGCAGATACTACACCTAACTGGCACAGAGAAAGGCTCTGCCACATTCATGAGGAACAGAATGTATTCAGCCTATGAAAACAGATTTTTTAAAAGGCTTATAACTTAGCCAAATTTGGGCAACTTTTATTAAAAACTTCTCCCCTGCCAAATTTCAAGGCCTTTCTCCAAAACATGGAGGCACTAGAGCTTTTTAATGAAACAGTTATTAAAAAACAAAACAAAACTGGGAATAATAACATGTTTTCCTCTCAGTTGTTCTCAGAAAATTTGTCCTGTTGTTCTCAGAAATGGCTGAACCAGTTCAGCCTGATGTATTTACGTTGGAAGGAGTCAGCTGAGACAAACTTTCAGCATGGGAAATTTCAGCYCAACTGGTCAGCCTTTCTCAAAGACTGGAAAAGTTCTAAGCAAGTGAAAATGGCCTTATACTGAGAAGTCAATGGCAAGCTTACCTATAAGTGATGCTTCTTCTTCTTTCTTTCTCTTTTTTTTGGGGGGTAGAAAAATACTAAGAATAACAACTACTTTTTTTTTCATGTTTCAGATTCTTTGAGTATATATTGCTCTATAAAGATGCAGTGATGTTTCAGATTGAACAAGTTACAAAGCTSTGCTCAAAGATTCCTCTGACTGAGCCGTGGGATCCATATGATATCCCGGCCAATTCGACTTACGAAGATCAGTACTACATCGGGGGACCTGGAGATCAAATTATGGTACAGGAATGGTCTGACAGAAAACCAGCCAGGAAATGTATGTGCATACTTTTATTTTGTAATAGTAATCGTTGTCTCTGCTGCTTAGGGACAAATAAAATTGTTCACGTTTCACCTCAGATTCACATACTTCCATAAAGTTTGCTGGAAGACATAATAAATAACTTCCATGTACAGCATTTTATGATTATCAATGCATTTTATTAAGAAAATGTCTCATATCTCAGCAGGATCACATGTATCCAAGGGACTAGCCTATATCATACAATTTTTGGCATAGAATTCCTTCGTTCTGCATCTGAATGCAGCAGCCTGAATGCAAAATCCATCTAGAGAAAAGATCAGTAATGTAAGTAGGGACATACTCAGCACAGGAACACAACTAGAATGTATCAGATTTCTGTTAGAAAGGCAGTATAGAAACAAGGAATCAGTGTTTGTCTACGCATTGTTATCAAATGTTGTCATGAAATACATCCAATAAGCTGTTTTGCAGCAGTGGGTGTCTTCAGTGTGCACCTACGTTTTGTTAGCCACAATGTTAGTGAGAAACATCCTTTCTCAAAGGTTACTTCTGCACTTGGCAGCTGAACACCTGCATCATAAAAGAAAGTAGRCTCAATTTTCCAAGGTGCAATATGTTAGGGTTTGAACGCATAGCACTTTATTAGAATGTTGGCTTCAGTTTCACCTATGGTTTAGTAATGACCCAGACAACTATAAAAAGAATTCTTAAAATCCAATTAAATTTATGATATTATTAAGTTAATGCAATATTTAGGGTTATAACCATCTACTATATGGATAGGTTATGAACCTAACTATATGGATAGGTTATGAACCTAAGCATTTAATCAAGGGAAAAAATATTTCTTGTTTGAATAAAAGTAGAAAGAAAACGAAGGATAAGGTCATTACAACTCTGTAACTAGGTCGGTGTATCCTCTGGTATTCTACAAGAGGTAAATTATCCCTCACTCCAAAAATCTTGTTTTTCAGATCCAGTATTTTTGGAACTTTTATGGAACTTAATATCCAGATACCTTCAGTTAATGATGTGTGATTTTTATCCTGTRATATTTTGTATTTCCAGTACTTTTTTTTCCATGATCATTCTGAAAAATAATATCTAAAACTTGTCTCCCATTCATCTTTCAGCTAGTATTCATTTGGATTCTAGAATTATAATTCTGTTAATATTATGAAGGTTTCAGTAGAGATACAGAATACCTTGGTATTATTATCCTTTACCTATGGGGTATACAGGAGAGGTATGCTTTAATTTTGCTCAGTTTGCAAGGCCTTTTATAAAATACTCCATGGGCATTTCATGACACAACTTACCTGTTTCCAATAACGTGATTATGGTAGAGCATATGACTCAGTACTAAAATGACAAAATACATATAAATATATATATATATGTCTGACTGCTGTTTGGATGAGATAAAATAAGCCTCACAGGAACTATTGGGAAAAATTGAAACAGGAGTCACAGAAAGGATCTGATCTGTAATGTCAGGAGGTAGTTTTGTATTCTAAGCTAATATAAATTTCTGCTATCAGAAGATCTGAAATACATGAAACAATTACATAAAGTGATATGTAATGAAAGGGATAAAGAAAGATCACTGAAGAGGTGCTTGGGAGAAATAGATTAAAATGAAATTTTAAAAGTGCAGGCTGGGCAAGAAAAATCACCTCAGTGGTATTGACTGCAGAAATATAACAGTGAGGTTATGGCAGAGGATGGGAGAGGAGAGAGTGAGAAAGAAAAACCCTTAAGTATGTTGCAGAGTTAAACTGGAGATAAAGAAAAGGGGCAGGAGTGCTGTATCACGTACACAGAGGAGTTCAGCATTGAGTGCAGTCTTGAAATAGATAATGGACCAGTAGAAATATATGAGAGGAATTATGATTGAGGAGGAATTACGATATGAGAGGAATRTTGATTTTCAAAAATGAACAGGGTAGTGATAATGTGTATAGATGACAGCAAACAGGAGGAAACAGTTAAGAAGAGATACAGACAGTAGAGTTGTATTTGGGAATGTTTCTCCTTTTCCAAAAAAAACACTGTTTGAGACAGCAAGCTGGAAGAAATAGGAGCAAGCGTCATGTTTATTTGAAGTAAGGATTTGGTAAGTATCGTCAGCGTAAGAGTGGTAGTTAAGGTCTCAGATGACTGAAAGGGCTGTGAGGGTAAAATGTTAGGGATGTCTGCAGCGGAGAGCTGTGGTGCAGAAGGAGCCCCCAYCACAGCAGAGCACAGGGACTTCATCCAGTGGGTGAGTGCAGAACTGTGCACAGAAAAGAATCAGATGTCCTGCATTAGCTGGGGAGATGTGAGTGCTTTAGAGTGTCAGAGACTGCTGAGCCCCAACAATGTCAAATGGAGCAGAACTTCTCAAAAACCACACCTTTTAACTTGTCAAAAGCAGAGAGTAAGGTGAAATATCCACATGCTACCTGAACTRAAGGCACAGAAATGTGCATTTTTCTGAAAACAACTCCCTGAGCATTACCTTGGTTTACTGCTGAGGTGGTGAAGTGGATGAATGCTGGCATGAAAGGTGGGAGAAATCAGATTTGTGTGGAGTGTAACTAAATTTGAGACTAACCATGAGTGCTGTTCCTTCAAAATAACTATCTCTGAAAGGAGACATACTGATGCCTTGATGGTACCATGATTTTAAACGTGCATGACACCAAGGTGACAGCAAGGCTTAAGATCATCATGGTGTCCATGATGCTACTTTTGTGGCCTTTCTTCATGTTGACATGCATCCTCTAACAGGATGCTGTCCTGGCAAGCAGATTACATGGGAATGTGAAGATCATTAGCCCTTAGGATAGCAAAAGTCAACCTGTTTTGTTATAAGTGCTATAGGATTTCCTTTTTTCTTTTTTTTTTTCCCAGGATCTTCTATTAGATTGCCTTTGATTTCAGTTCTCCACTAAGGTTTTCAGAAAGATAGGACTCTGCTTAGAAATATGGGAAACCCCAACCTATAGGCTTTGCTATAAAGGAGGGAGAATTGGAAGCTCCCTGCCTTGACGCTGTTGCCACACGGTCATACTTGGGATCTAAACAGCCCAATTTCTGCTTCATTGCAGTGGAATCCTGGGTTGGTGTCTACACGGTCAAAGACTGTTACCCAGTGCAGGAGACCTACACGAGGAACTACAGCGTGACAACCTCCACTCGCTTCTTCGACCTGCAGCTGGGCATTGCCGACCCCTCGGTGTTCACGCCGCCCAGCACCTGCCAGACAGCCCTGCTCCACAAGCTGGAAGATGGGTGCTGATCCCGGGCCCTGGCTGCCCCCGCAGATAAATAATAGCCGGGAGGATAATTGCTAATAGTCATCTGCTGACGTCTAACCTGATTTTTCAAGCTGATTGCTGCGCTTTTGGGAATTGTAAGTTTTCCCTTGGAGGAGAACATCAATATTTAACTGAGTGAGATRTGTAACAGAAGGTCTTTTTCACCACATTAGTTTGTTCAGTGATGCACTTGCAGTATTATATTGTTACTGTGAAGGTAGTATTTATAGATACTGTTTGTATTTGCTCTGGGTGATTTTCTTTTTGTAAAGATTTCATTATTTATTTTTTCAAGAATATAAAATACAAGCAGCCTGTTACAGTGGTAATACGATGAAGAAAAAGCTAGATCTTGCCGTTGTCATTAYGTCTGGACAGATAAGGAGAAGGGAAATATGTCCTGGGTAAGACCTAATCCCCACTCAGAAAATAACCTGTTTTAAAGAATTCCATCAAAAGCATGGAAATTCTTTCTCGTGTGTGTCATTTTTTGCTTGTTTGTTTTTGTTTTATTTTGTTTTTGCTAAATGCTATTCAGAAAGCTGATTGGTTTTTTCTTTTGCTAAGAAATGGGAGTAACTGTGTTTATATAACACTATCTCCCATGCAAAAATACAATTTTTAAGATTTTTTTCTGAGGAGAGCATTGTGAAAGGAAGTAAAGGAGGGAGGAAGACACCTCAATAAATTACACCAAAGTTTTCTTGTATTTGTTATATCTTCAGTAAAGTATTCCAAATAGGTTGATGAGGCATTTTTTKATTTTATTTTACTTTAGTATTCACATTTCAAGGCAATACTTTATTTAACCTATGCAAAGACATTCTGAGGTACTGCACTCTAAGTTGCTTTAATACTTTTATTTACAAAGTGTATGAAACACTTTTACAATCCTAGGTTGAGGTGAAAATCACCTGTTCCTATTACCTCGTTGATAAAGGCTGTATCAGCACTCAGACAGTGCCTTGCAATGCAGGTGGGGTGAAAGATACCTGTGAGGGGCAGGAGTGAGGTGGGAGGTGGAAAGGAGGGAAGAAAAGTGCTTTGGGTGCCTTCTGTATGACTGCAGGGCACTGCAATCTAAGCAGAGAAGACAATCATGATTTCCTTTGCCCCCACTACATTGATGCTATGTTTGCTGTTTAGTCACTGTGTCAAACACTGTTTTTTTCCCATCTCCTTCTTTTCTGGTGGACAGAATGAATGTTTCCTTGAACCGAGCAAATATATATATATAAATAAAAATAAAGTGCAAGAAATACACATCTTTGCTTTAGAAAATCCAAATCTGCACACACATCTTCAGGCCCTTGAGAGTCTAGAATGAAACAGATGTTACACTTTGACCAACTCAGATGAATTGGCTTATTCTGTAAGTATATCATAGAATCATAGAATCATAGAATGATTGAGGTTGGAAGGGACCTCAGAGGTCATCCAGTCCAACCCCCCTGCTCACKCAGGGTCACCTAGAGCACGTGGCACAGGGCTGCATCCAAGCGGGTTTTAAAGATCTCCAAAGAAGGAGACTCCACAACCTCCCTGGGCAGCCTGTGCCAGGGTTCTGTCACCCTCAATAAATATATGGATGCATTTAATTTCTTATTTGCAAATATGCTTAGGGATTCTCACYCTTCTGTACTTGCTGGGTAGTAGTTTGCTCTGGCATAGCCTAGCTGAGGTCAGTGCCACGTGGGGTTGTCCRGTGGGTCTTTGGGCAGAGCTGCCGGGTTCTGTTGCTTGCCCAGTGGCCGTTGGGCTCTTCTCCATGGTGAGATCTCTTTTCTGGGACAACTTCTGATGAAGAGAAATGACTCATTTTACCCATGATAGGAACTCTTACAAAAATACTGACCAGTAGTAGCATGCATAACAAACCAAGGGCTCACACCAACTGTGGAAGATAGTGGAGCTGGGCAGGCTTCTCATGGTCAGCATTGTCTTAGCTTTCTGTACGTAATCAAGTGGTACAGCAGGTATTTTCCTTCATGGCTGTAGTCAGAATGATGTTTTAGTTAGGCTTGTGCTTACYAAGCAGGCACACTTACCCACTAAAATGTCAATGTTTCGTTCAAAATACCAGACATGGCCATTTCACTGAAATGGACCGGTGGAAAAAAGCACGGGGTTTCCTCGACTTTAAAATGCATGAGGTCTGTGCTCGCCTTCAGTACTACTGTGACAACCTAAAAGCAAACTGCATATTGTTCTCATTAGGGCAATGATTAACATGCGTTTCTTAATATCTGTTTCTTGTTGGAATCTGGAAAATATAATACATCTGGCTAGCAAACATGGGAGCTACAGTASGACATTGCTTGGGATGACTTTGTTGTGGTAGAGCAGATAGCTGTATAATCAGAGTGCAAGTACTAAGTTTTGCTGACCGTGATATCATTTCTAGCAATCAAATTAATGTTCCATTTCATATGAACTAGCAAGTGTCTGTAACACAGAAGTGCTTTGAAAATGTTGCAGTGACATCCAGGGCAATTTTGTATGGCAAATATGTACCTTTAAAACAATGCTCTTGTCTTTGTATTTAAGCTCTGCAAATCCAATAAAGAGAGTTGTCAAAGAAAGGATAAACAACACTTTTGGTATTTTGCTCGTTGCTTAAATTAGCCATGAACCAGATMTGAAGTAGAAAAAGCAGGTGCTTAGTTGATCAGCATGTTGTTATTSTGTACTGCAAAAGACATTTTGGCTTGATGCTGTTATGCCAGTGTCTTAAGAAGTATGAGCATAAAAAGACTTTAAAACAGGCATTCATTGTGCTGTCATGGTGAAGTWAAAAGGCATCTTTTGAATGTCTGATGGTCTGAGGAATTTCTTTATCACTGTTATTTAGGTGGAAATTAGTTATAAATGGTCACAAAAGGTGACTAAGTAGCAGTGACAGAACCTCCGAGTTGAATACTCGGTGAGACAAAGCTGTTTTTGTGAGATTTTCAGTGCTTCCTGATTTTACCTGGGCCAGAAATAGTGCAAACAGACTTTCCTGCCATGTTTTTGTATTTCTGCTTGGAGACTTAGCTGAAAGCAGGATGTGTAGAAACACGACATTGTTTTATTTAAAGTTAACCAAACATTCCTGAACCTCAAAACAGGTTTAGTTTGAATTTGGGGAGGAGATCTGGACATTTGGTTCAGTTCCTATTTTAACAGTTTCCTTAGCTGTAGTATTAGGGCCAAATTCTGCTGCCTCAAGCCACGCTGCGTACCATGAAATTGCTTCCATTTACCAGGGCAAACCAACGGGCTCTTTCACAGAAGATGTAGGAAGAAACACCATAACCGTAACTAAAGGTGACTTTTAGTGAAGAAGTCCCTAAATAATATAATATTTTTATTCTGGGATATGCTAAAAAATGAGTGTTTTTTCCACCTTGAAGCTCATTTCATTCTAATGGTCACCTCTCCTTGTTGCAAAGTTGCTGTTGTTTTCCCAGCACTGTCCTTCCTAAGGTCAGTGGGTCATAGAGACCACTTCCAACACAGCTCGTAAAACTCTCAGTTCCACTCATTTCAATGGAAGTTCAGCCCCTATGTATCTCCTGGGTCTGATCTGGACCTGACCTCTCCTATTTTTCCAGCAGTCTCAATMTGAAATGCTAGGGCAGGGTTGGCGATAGCAAAATGTGACCAGCGCACTCTGATGTACGTGTAGGTGGCCAATGATAACAGAAAGGGGCCCAGGGAAATAACCTGCAAGTTGGCTACTCCTTAAGATGAATGAAGATTTCAAGAAAGGACCTAGATCCTTTCTACAGGAAGACCACGATCCTGTGTATAAAGACACTGAACTGTCTTTCCGTGACAGGGCACGTCCAACGTATAGTAAAGCATGTGCACATCTGACCTTCACATCTGCACTTAGGGTTATGAACAAAGGAACTGAGTTTTGAAGACTCTTTAATACCTCTGAGCCTTTACTGCTKTGTAATATGCTTATGATGCAGTGGAGCATCCCCTGTGAGTTACCAAGGAAATGATCTATGCTTCCCCTTCCCCACACACACACACACAAAAAAGCCTTCTAAAGCCTTCYTATGTGTTTTATTTTCCCTCCTGAAATGAAAAGTTAAGGAAAATTCCCTCTTTTTCCAAGAAGATTCACCAGAAATTGCACCATTTTTGGTGTAATATAGTCTCCTAATATTCTTAGTCACCCATGGTTTCACTTGAAAGCCATCATCTGCGTGAAATCAGTGATACATTAGAATAAAAATGATAAATCATCACTATGAAACTGGTTTCACTGATTTCACTGGTTTTAGTGCATCCTGATTTATCATACTCATTCATGTGGCTTGATGTGGACGTTTCAGAATAAAGACTGAAACTGCATATGGGATGAAATAATGCATGTGCTCATGGTATGATATTTTATTTGAAGTAAGGATAAGCAGCAGAGCAGTGCACCGCATTCAAGAGTGAGCAAGCACCAGGTTACCTAGTTATGCAGCTATTGGAATATGAACTTTGTGGAAGCAGAGCTGCCTGCTGCCTTCGAGAGGATGCTGAGCTCTTCAGATTATAGATTTGGTTTTTACTTCCTCCCATCTCATCTTCTCACCTATTCCATGCGAACTGGCTTCCTACGCCAGTCTGCAAAGTGGGAAAACTATTTCCTGCTTTTCACCTGCTTTTGCCTTACTGATTATAAAATCTTTTTAAGCCAACACAGGAGGGCCTGGGGAGGCCACCAGCCACTGCTATCGTTCAACTAATAATGCCATGGGCAGTTCCCAGTGTCTTCCTTCCGACGTATAACAACACTGTGTGTGTGTCACCCACGTGGTTGAACGGGCTTAACGTTTGCAGTGCTACGTGCTCGCTGAGCACATTCGGCTGCTAATCGTGACCTCAGCGCCTGGCTGTCCCTGTTAATTGAGCTCAGCTCAGGCTTCAGAGAAGCCAGGCAAACGCAGCTCGCTGGGGAAAGGAGAAGAAACCCACTGGGCTCACACCGGGTGGGATTTTCCCAGCTTGCCCAGCTCTAGCAAAGGGATTTGACGTTCCTGAAGCAGCCGCGGCTCAGTTGTCAGCTCTGCGCTGCAGATGGCAGCGTGCCAAAGGAGAGGGGCGAATTCCTCTTCTGCACTAAAATTACCCTTCACGCTGGGTCAGCAATTCAGTATTGATTGCAGTCAAGAAAGGGTGCCTGCTGCCGACATGCTGGTCCCGTGGGCAGGGATTTACATCCAGAGCTTGCAGGTGCAGGCACAGCAGCCAAGGGAGCGCCGAGAAGGGGGTGCTCACAGCCCACCCCCGCAGCTGCCTGGAAAGAAGGCTATGAAGACCCGCTGGATAATCCTCCCCAGCCTCTCCGTTTTGTTCTCTGTGCAGCCAGCATCTTCCAGGGACAGAAAGTTGACAGCAGTGCCTGGGCTCCTCACCAAGCACAGGGCCTGCAGGTCTTCATGTCAAAGCCCCTAGATCAAACTGTCCAGTCAGGCTTGGACATCTCTGAGGATGAAGATTTCTCTGGGCCCTCTTTTGACTCCCTGTCTCCATTATGGGTTTTTGTTTGCTTGTTTTTTTCCAATAGCGTTGCAATTTCTTCAGTTCCAGCCAGCTCCCTTGTCTCTGTACATCCCAGAAGGTGTGACCCTGTCTTTCTCTGTAYTCTCTCATTGGGTAGCTGAAGCAGTCATAAGGTCCCTCTGGGACCACCTCTTCTCCGAGTTGAATAAACTCAGGTCCCTCAGCCTCTCCTCGTACACTGTCTGCTACAGCCCCAACCAGATGGGTTGAGCTCGTTTCAGTATGTCCATGTCTCTCCTGCACGGGGGAGCCCCGAACTCGGCTCATCCCTCCAGATGTCTTCTCCTCAGTGTCCCAYAATCATCTCCCTTGGCCTGCTGGCTAGACTTTCGCTAATACAGCTTCACAGATCCCTCACTTAGCTGGCAAGAAGGTATAAAATGGTACTGGAAGAGCTATCCTAAAGCATGAGTGGTCTTCAGGTGCCCCCAGAAAGAACCATCTGCCCATAAAGTGATTCATCTCCTTGTCCTTGGCTACAGCCCGGAGMCCTCAAGCCATCTCCCCAACATTATGTTTCACCTAGTGATGCCTGTGCTTAGGGTATGGCATAGGATATACATGGGTACAGCTGCTTTCCTTAGGTAATTTCYGTTGTTTTGAATCCATTTTCAATATTGTTGCTTCACCTGGTTATCTTCTTTAAATGAGAACTGTATCTGTTAATATAATGAAGTGATTTGTCACAGGGATGCTGAGCTTGCTTGTTTTACTATCACTACTGCTACTGGCCAGTGGCCTTTGCTTATTACTGCAATGTTTCATACTAAATGAAGGTCAGGCCACTCTTGTAGTGATAAACATGCTTGATGCTGGTAGCGGCTTGCAATAATAACAGCATGTATTGCAAAAATACTTAGTAGTGATGAATTAGAACAATAAAGTCTAATTATGATGACCAAAGTGATTATTAACAAGTACTCTGATAAAATTGAGCTTCTGGGGAAAGGGGCCAGTGGGGTGCTGAGAAGCTGCAGATGAGGATAGGAGTGTCTTTTTCCTTCAGGAGCCCTCATGCCTGCCCTTATGTAGTAGGAAGGGCCTCTCCTGGAGGGCTTTCAAGCCATGGTGTSCTGCTGCTTGAACATATTTAGATGCAGCACTGCTGTGCCTCACGTTTCATTCCAGGGAAATGCTATAACCCCTTCCCAAGGTGTTTGACGGGTGGTCTCCATCCAGCGCAGCGTTGCATGCACCAACGTGTGCATTGGTGCTGGTCTCAGCAGGAAAGGCGACGGTGCCCGTGAGCTCTGCCTTCTCCCTCCCCCATATGCTCCTACGTGTCCCACCACCCATAACCCTCTTCAGCACCCAAAACCGAGGGCGGCAGGCGCGTCCCGAGGGACCCCAGGGCTCCCCAGCTGGGCAGGAAGCGCAGCCACGAAGCATTTAATAGGAGTTACGTGTCACCAATGGGACGGCCAAGGCACCAGACTGTGCCCATTAAAGTTAATTGGATTTATGCTGGCACAACAAAGGGACAATGTACTCCCAACTGCTAGAGAACATCTGCCCGCAAGAGAGCTGAGGCAGACAAAAATTTCAACACTCTTTTTTTGTGTGTGTGTGTTGAAACTTGTGAAATGCTATAGTTCGTTTATGAACAACACATTTCTAGGTCTTTGCTTGCAACTGTGGGAGAAGTGGTTGGAAATAAAGCTGCTCTAACTATACAAAAATAGACAGCAGCACTTAMGCCATATTAAAATACTGTCTGGTATTGAGTGGAAACCTGTGCACATGACCATAAATCTCACCTGAAAAGTCATTTCATAAATAGAGAAAAAAACAGACCTTTTCTCCCAGCTAAAGAATCCTACAAAACTGATGCAAAACTCAGTTATTAGCAGGAAGAGATGACTTTTGGGTTAAAGAAATACTTTGTAAGAAGTTCAAAAGACTTGTAGTAAAAGAAACATCACATCTATGCAGACAAAGTAATCTACAGTTTTAAGCTAAAGTTTTTCTGCCTTAAATCTTTCAGTTTTCAGATGGAAAAATTACAAAGAAATAGGTGCTTTTAAAATTGTTTGGATGACAATTAAAACCTATTTTTTATCAAAAAAAGACTTTGATGGATAGAAACTTAATTTTGAACACAGCAAGGCTAGAAATAAACAATGGTTTCTTAGGCCTCAAAGTGCAGCCCACATAACTCCTCACACGCGGGAGGAAGCAATCAACTAAATGCCCTCATGCCACAGGTTCCTCTCAGGACTCTAAAAAGAGACAACATTTTATATTCTGTCCACAAATGCTGTTTAGCTTTATGCTTGCTAGATGCAGTTGAGGCAACTCCTATACAAAATCAGACATGCTTATTTTGGAGTATCATTTAGCTTTATGTTGTTATTACACGTTTTAGTCCTAGTTACCTGCAGGCTACAAGACACCATTACAAAGCAGATCAGTAGTGATAAGATATTCCTAATATGACTGTGCTTTTTGTTCCTGATCAATCTGTATCCCATTGAATAAAATGTATGTTTATTTGATGATCAATTCTCTGCTTTACAGGTGGATTTTCTCAGGAGGGCAAATTTGCATGAGTAACAGCTGATCTTAAGGATATTTTTAAGTCACAGATGTTGTAAATACACCTTGTCAGAAGGACCAAGCCCTGAGTTAGTAGTCACAACTGAAAGCTTTGAGAGAGGCTGCTGCTAATGAGGTCTTAAAGATGGGATTTTACTTGAAGACTGTTAATTTGTGTAACCATACCTGTTGCTGCAATGGAAGATTGTCTCTTCCTGTAAAACCTTGTTCTGATGAAGTGATGGGACTTTTGTGAGTATACTCATTACCCTGCAGATTTCCAAAAAAAAAAAAAAGATGGTATTTTATGCTAGCAGAAGATTTGCCTTAGATTTACCTTTTTTTTTTTTTTTTTTTTTTTTTTCTTCCCTCCTCCCTAAAGGGTTTATTTGAGCAAAAAGCAGCCTATGAGCAGCAGTCAGTGTCTCTGTCATGGAAGAAACTATTACCCAAACAGATGAAGAGATTCATTATTTCACAGTTTTATGCCTACTGAGCCATACTAGACTGTAAATACTGTTCAAGACTCTATAGGGGCCATCTTCCATTTAGGAGAGAGTGGGTGAAAGAACAAGGAAAGAGTAAGGAGAAAAATGGAAGTGAGAATGATCAAAAATCAAATATATCAAGATTGTGATAGTCTAGAAACCAACCAAACACTCTTCAAGTGCAACAATGAAAGAAAGAGAGAAAGAGTGAGTGAGAGAATTGTCCCTGCCTGCCTCTTGTTAATCTATTTTATGGATGATTTAAAGAAATTACACGGGGAACCTACCCCCAAATACAAAGGTTCCTGAATACCAGTGTTCCTTGTGCAGCAACACAAGCCCACAAAGGCCATTTGCAGACTCAAAGTAACTTCAGGTTTGGCTCCCATCGTTGCCTCTGCTCCCTGTGCACCGGCCTGCCCCTGTGAGCCCGGGCCAAAGTCCCACCATGAACCCAGGGTGTTCAAGGGGCTCATGAAGAGGAAGCAGCTCTTTGTGGGCCCTGCACCAAGGCGCGTTTGACCTTTCGGACTCCCTTCAAGGAAGTGCCRAACATTTGCACCTCCCACTGAAGCAGATAGATTGAGCGTGAAATCGTATCTAGCCAGTGGAAATTAGCAGTCATCGCTTATGACCCTGTTCTTTTCTTTCCAAGAAAAGTTTTCTTAACTGAGCTGCTGAATTTGGACTTTAAATGCACCTAACTCCCTTCCATTTAATTTCCACCTTGTGCTAGCTTGCACTGCCAAAATGATATTGCCCTTAGGATTATTTTTTCCAACAGTTTCACTCTTACAGATGTGGATTGAAAGGACAGATGGTCCCAATGGGAAACATTATGAGAAATAATCAAAGGGAGTAGTCCAGAAAGAAACAAGGCATGATATGTTCCCTTACACCTGCTGCCTATCCCATCATATGAACCACTGGAGCTGGAATTGCAAAACAGGCAAACGAGAAAGCTAAGCCACAGGAAGCAAAGCACTATYGCACTTCAAAGATTAGTGCTAATATTGTGTGTATTAAAACAGAGCTTGCATGATGTCAAACATGTTGCTCACAAATGAAACCGCCTTCTCTGGAGGTTCTTTTTTTAAGAGCAGAAGGAAACGTTGGATAATGGCTCCACTGCTAGTTGTATTCCAGCCAGCCAAAAACACCAAGTGTGGTTGGCCAAAGACAATACATTTTTAAAGCTTCCTCCTTTATTTCTACAGCAGCTGCTAGAAACGTGGCTGTCAAGGGCTTTAGAAAAGGAAGACATATGTGGCGTGTGTTTGGTCAGGTGTTGCGAGCACTACAATGAACTTTGGGCCACCTGTGCCCAAGGGTGTGTATGGAAGTGTTGCTTTCAAGCACTGTAAACAGCACTCACTTTATACTAAAAAACATCACCCTAAAATACCCCTCTGAGTAATAGGAGTTTGTATGAAAACATTTGGGATGAGATATAAAAACAAGATCTGGCCATTGATGGCCATAGTTTAAAAAAAAAAAAAAAAAAAGAAAGAAA